GCGCTTTTAATATTCGCCAGTGAGTTCGTGACAACTCGCAATGAATGAGTTTACTGCATTTTTGGAAGCATTTATCCATCATCTCAGGAGTGAGTTTATCAGTGAAAAGAGCAATATCCACAAGCGGTGGTCCGTACCTAGGCGAATGCTTACCATTCGAGCGCGTACTTTCTGGAGGTCGTCACGTTCACATTTCCCGGCCGTTATCATGGCTTTGACGCTTTTCTGCACAGAGAAACTCACCAGTTGACAATTGGTGTTGACAATGGTAGGGATACGATTGTGTTGCTCATCTTCACAACTACCGATCTTAACACTTCTTAGCTGCGCAAACGTTGAGAGGCATGAGAAGCAGGGATTAGACCATCAGTGATACTAGTTCAAACGCATGCCAGTTTATGACTTACAGCGTAGAGACCTAAGTTAATTTAGTAAAGCACAGGTGACGACAGCATCTTCACGGCACCTATATCGGGAGCGAGCGCACTGAACCATGTCTATGTAGGCAATAGCACTGCCAAACGAGGAGGATCTGTTTTGTGTAACAACGCTGTTTCAGTTGTTTGATCGAAACGAAGTTTCTCACTTATTTGTGGTTTGCGTAGCCACGATTGAAAATTCACATCCCGCCTACCTGAGTGACGCCTAATAACGCTATCAAATACATTTGCAGAAACTGACCCAAATTTATAGTCAAACTACCTGATTTAATAAAGCACTACCGGATAAAAGCAAAGGTGCTTTTCTCAATATCAAAACAGTCGCATAAGTTTCTGTAATATACACGCATACTAGTTACTGGGGTTTCACACAAACAATAACAAGAATTGTCTAGTTCGTGTTACACACTATTCAGTGCGGGTCGTGTATAAATCGATCCCCTTGGGTATACTAGGGTGGAGCAGGTCAGTAGAGGCAGGGTGGATAACCTCGACCGAAGTAAAATACAATCCCGGTGAAAGTTTATTGCCGGGTTTTTGAGTGTCTATCGTAGAGTGCAGCGTTGGGAGAGAGCAGTTCTGAAACTCTCCGCTTCAGAGTAAATGTTGCATAGAAAAGAAAAGGCGGTGCCAAACGCAGAGCAGAACCGAGGCATCTCGAGTACAAAGAACGACCTGCTACATGTCTCTTAGTAAGGGTTTTCCGGTCTCTGCTACAAGTCAGGCGTGTGGGTTACACTAGGTTTGGTAATGCAACACTGTGATTTGAACATGAAGCATAGAACAACGTTGAGATTTGTAAGTTTTGATGTGTTAAAATTAGTGCAAAACATTCCATGCAGATAAATTCGATATGCACATACAAAGCAGAACATGGTATCCACACATTCGAAGACATCACACATGTAAATGGTCAACAGATTTGGTTTAGTCTATAGTGTCTTTCCATCACAACGAAGCAGAAAGGCTGACCGAACCGATTACTGGCAGTGTACCCCATCTTTCTGTACGTATACCACAAAGCGGCGCTTCGCACGGTACCGAAGTGCCTGCATTGTTTTCAGATAAATAAAATCCCTCCATGGGGAAGACGATGGAACTATAGCTCGTACAGATTCCACCCACAAATCATCGCCAGTTCATGTGTCGGAAAATGTTAATTAGCTGTAAAAGTGTTAGTGGTAGATGATCCCGAAAATATCCGCAGCGAAAGCATGTTGACAAGATACCATGTTTGAAATGGAGAGGTATCGGGCTGTAAGTTAAGATGAGAAACACGCATCTTTGGGTATCATTTGTTCGAGGAACAGTATCGGGGTGTGAAAGACATTGAAATGTGGAGGGTTTCGGTGTGGCTCTCTCCCATCCCTGCACTTGACGACCGACGGTTTCGTCCTGGTTTGTACTCATCAGATAGAGATAGTAGAACTAGGAGTGGAACTCGGCGCATAGTGCTTAACGGCTATCGCCATGATCACTAGGCGATTGAGCTCCGCAAGCAGTGCTTGGCACGTCGGTTAGAAGTTGATTTTCGCGTTTTGGAGCATTCGCCATGTGTCGTGGATTGCGACACGTAACCTCAGTTGTGGCCTCGGTTAACTTCGTAGTCAGCCTCCCCCAATACGATCACTGGGGCCGTCACCGAAGTGCAGGGTTTCGGTGGGTTCTCTCCCATCCCTGCACTCCACGACCGTTGGTTTAGTCCTAATTTGGACTCATCAGGTGACGGTCTCAGTGCCCGTATTGGCAGAGGCTGATAGCAAAGTCAACCGAGGCCACAACTGAGATTGTGTTTAGCAATTCAAGACACAGGACGGATGCTCCAAAACCCGAAAATCAACTTCTAAGCCCTGTGTCAAGCGCCACTCGTTGAGCTCAATGGCGATAGCCGTCAAGCACCATTGGATGAGTTCCACTCCCAGCTTAGGCTGTTCTTACCTGATGAGTCCAACCCAGGATGAAACCGTCGGTCGTTGGATGAAGGGATGGGAGGGAACCAGGCCGAAACTATCCACATTTCAATGACGGTCCCAGTGATCATATTGGCGGAGTTGACTTCAAATTCAACAGAGGCCACAATTGAGATTGTGTGTCGCAATCCAAGACACATGGTGGGTGCTCCAAAACTCGAAAATCGACACCAAAATGTGCTTAGCAAGACAGAGATGATCTGCGAGTGATTTTATGGGTTTTGTTAATAATTATGGCAGTGGGCAGAATGCATGATTCAGCAACGTGCACTAACGCTCATGCGTAAAGAAAATATTCACTCATACATACAGAATCACAATCATGCTTTCGGAGTTTCGATGATGAACCACCAGTTCTTGAGCAGCATCCGTCCGTGTCCGGTGTACGCTAGGCTTCATTAGGATATTCACATCATTCAGCGACACCAAGCATGGTCACAAAGGGAAACACGCTCTCAAGTTACGAGTTTAGCCAGTCCAAGTGACAAACCGCTTCCCCAATTTGTAGTGACAATTTTTTGAAACAAAAAGTAGTCATCAAATTCTTGGAAGATACTTGGAACCGATAGAGTAATCACGAGTTCAGTGAGGTTTGGAAACAATAGGTTGGTATAGTAGTTTGGTAACGTTTCGCTCTTGACATAAGAACTTCGTCACACCAGGTGAGTGTGCAATTAGAGTGGGATTTCACAGCGATCAAGGGTGATAACCGCGTTACCCGAGACTTGAGCCAAGGTGTCATTACAGTCACAGTTCGAGATGTCACCGCAGGTGATTCAATCACAGTGGGAATATTCCAGGTGTAACTTTGAGCGTCATGGCATCGACGGATAAGCCCATAGTGTTGACAGTGGGAGTCGGTTTGCACATTCCAATCTGATCCACGCACAGATGTTCGTCAGGCTGCCTGATTTAAGCTCACTCACCACGCATTAGAGAGTTCTACCCTCTCCATTCTATTCACGCAGTCGTCAGATTTGGCAATTTCCATCACCTCGGCAATCAATCGCTGAGGCTTTGATGGTATACCCCTCCTAATGACCTCTACGTTTTCCAAGTCTATCTGGTGACCCGTGTCTAATGCACGCACAGCCAAGGCTCAGTCTCTTACTGTTGCCTGATATTCAAACTCGTTTCTTGGTGGTCTTGGAATGCGCCTCCTGGGCTCTGAAATTCGTGTGTGTAACTATCTCGCTATTTGACCTATGTACACATGTGCACAGTCCTTACATTTAATTTTATAAACACAGTTAAACGTCCTATCCTTGGGAAGGGGGTCATTCATGTGTACCAGCGCCGAACGTAACGTTTTACCTCGCTGAAAGATCATCCTTATATTTTCTTGTTTAGTACCCTCCGAATTGAATCCGAGGTGCCTTCGTTGTACGAAATTCCTACCGTCCCTATCCAGCCAGTTGTGGGTCGTGACTGTCGGTATGGTACTTTACGTAACTGGCGTTTGACCAGTCGCCGTGGGTAACCACTCCAATAGTTTGCTCACTGCCACTTCCCGCGCAGCCTTTTTGTCCACCTCCATCGTGCACAGAGATTGTGCCTTGTAGAAAAGCGCTGAGGTTATCCCAGTGTAAACATGTCTCGGATGACCCGAAGTGTAGTGGAGTACACCGTCATTATTTGTTGGCTTGCGATGTATTGTCGTCTTTAAATTTCCCCCATTACTGTTAACCAGGTAATCAAGAAATGGTATTGTACCGTTACAAGATTCCAATTCAATAGTAAACTGTATCCTCTCATCAATGGAGTTAAACTGATCAAGCAACTTGTCCTTCTTATCACGTTTCACAAGTACCAAGGTGTTACCTACATAGCGTCACCAAACTTTTGTTGAGTTAACAATGTTTGTTAACGCCCTGTTCTCGAAGACTGTTCTTGAAGACTCCATATACAAGTTCGCCAGTACAGGGGGATATTGGCGATCCCATGACAAGACTATGTTCCTGAGTGTAAAGCTTCGACTGAAAAAAGTAAGACATGTGAAGACACACCATCATACCCCCGATTATCTGGTTAACTGTTAGTTTCGTCCGATCGCTCAGAGTAAGGACTTCATTTAGACAACGTCTTGCTATTCTTAGAGTCTCTTGTCTGGGTACATTGGTGAAGTGATGTGACATCGAAGCTTACCATCAACTCATCTGTCTCGATCTTGAGACTTGCTATCTTTTGTGCGAACTCATAAGAGTTTTTCATGAATGTACTCGTTCGCTCTGTTAGAGGCTGCAACAGCCTTGCCAAATATCCAGCGAGTTCATGGGTCGGGGAGCCTGTATCGTCGACTATGGGCCGTACGGGAACTTCGGGTTTGTGAACTTTTGGCAAGCCATAAACCCTCGGAGGTAAAGTAGATTTTGGGTATAGACTGTACCAGTTGCCTGCCTCTAAAAGCACCTGGTCTGACGAAACTCTTGTCAAGGGCGTTACCAAACTAATATACCAACCGATTGTTTCCAAAGCTTTCTGAAAAAGGAGTCATGTTTGCTATCAGGCCAATTCATCTATATTGAGACATATTTTGCTGCTCTCGTGGGGCATTCCCACGATCGATTGGTGATTAATCCGTTTGGCTTACCTGGAAATTTGCATCCGTATAGTGCGAATCGTAGACAGACGTTTTGATTCGAGGTTCGGCTGTAGGGATAGAGGCGAACTCGTTTGGCTATCACCATGGAGTCCAGTGTAGCCCTGGCCAGATTTCTCGGATCACTGTTGGCCAATAAAACCTGTAACAACGGGGCAAGAATAGATGGTTAGCAGATCAATGAAATTATTTATGGTTTGGCAGATTTTGCCGAACAACAGCGACTGAGAAAGAACGCGGTGAAAAAAATGTAGCCTAAACAACCTAGGCCCTCATGCTGACAAGTAGGTACGGGTCAACAACTTCAAGAGAAGCGACGGCGACTGGTTCAGCTCTCGATTGTACTGTGTCGCGCGTATCAAGTGCACGTGTGCACAGTGTATGCGTTCCATTATTGAATTGCGACTGAAGCCGGGGACACAATGGCCACTCACTCGACCACCGATGGGTGCACGGGGTGGTCGGCAATCATGGACGTTAGAAACCCAGCGGACGCGGCGGAATCACTCACCCTTGCACCATCTCGCTTCACGTGCTCATACCAGGTGCCACCGTCCTGACGTTGATATCTGAGTACGAAACTTGGCATGAATTCTTTGACCTGAAAGCAGAGAGGAACCAATCGATAGATACGCTTCCTCACATTGTGTACGCACAACATGAGACAAGTATGACGCATCTAACTCGTAAAACGGTAGTGTGAAGTTATGAGAGGAGAATCAGGCATAACCTTGTTAGCTTGCGACTGCGAGTAATTGACCAAGTCAATTCACATTCTGGTTTCCATCGCAGTTAACATACACTTGGCAATAAAGTAGCGGAATGGCAGTGTGGTGTGCTACCAAAAGAATCAATGAATTTTCATCTAGCCGGTCTAATGCCAGTACCCGAAACGAATTGAGTTTCGTTTATCCTAGTTGCCCTAAGGCAGTGTGAAACAGCCATATGGTTCCATCGATCGCTGAACCGTTGCGAGTTGTGTACTTTCGTGGGGGAGCGAGTGGGAGAACAGAAGCTGGTGAAAGCTGAACCGGAATTTTTTCATATCCGAAATTGCTTAGTAAGTTCCGGTTGTTAAGTGATGTGTCGTCAATTTCCAGACAACGCAAGACAAAAATTCGGTCAAATCCGGTTACGATAAAACAAGCAGCAGCGATTAATTGCCGTCTGCTTGAGAAATTGAGAAGAAAAGGGTTCTGTTCATTCGATTAAGCGAGCTGCAAAATGTGTAAACCTACTGCGTGGATGGAAATAGTGCGGTATCGCTGTAGTAGTAGTAGTAGTAGTAGTAGTAGTAGTGTTGGTGGTGGTAGTAGTAGTAGTAGTAGTAGTAGTAGTAGGTAGTAGTAGTAGTAGTAGTAGTAGTAGTAGTAGTAGTAGTAGTAGTAGTAGTAGTAGTAGTAGTAGTAGTAGTAGTAGTAGTAGTAGTAGTAGTAGTAGTAGTAGTAGTAGTAGTAGTAGTAGTAGTAGTAGCAGTAGTAATAGTAGTAGTAGTGCTGTAGTAAGAAAATAAAGCAGAAATCTATCCACAGCGAAAAACACGTACAACGATGAATGTGAAACTGTGTGCATCAGGTGGCCCGGACCAGTTCAACAGATAGACTGCTTATAGGTGCTATAAACAGACACACAGATAAATACCCGACAGAGTAAGTTGAGAGTTGGCCTCATACCCTTTGCAAACGAAAAATATAGATCCAGCGATTTATGACTGGAGACCTCAGTGATACATTAAACAGCAATCGTTGGACTACATCTTTGACTTCCTCGTAAACAACAGAACACACTTGAGTGAAGCACTTAAACGAGTGTGCTAGAAAATGGTTCATCTGTGTGTATGCTCTCGGGGTAGTTTGCAACTCCAGTAGTGAACTGCCACAAGTATGCCAGATGCACGCTAAAACAACTAGGGAAAGCCCAAGCCCAGGCTGGTGGTGTGACCATTCATTCGAATGTTCACTCCAAAGCAAAATGTTAACGCCCCACAAAAACTGTTCAGACACAAATCCGTACGGATCGATCTGAGCATTAGCAACCACCAAATGCGCGACATGCTAACGGCAAATCGATCCCCATTTATGTGGGCTCAGGTGTCCACACAAAAGTCATGTGTTACACAGTGGTTCCTAGCTGATTCAGAGAAGAGCTGGTTGTAGGGCACAATAATTTGATCTGATTATAAGTTCTACTGGCGCAGGAGTAATCAGTTCAGTTTCCAGATAGAACAGTGAGTGGATATCTCTAACGAGACACGTCCCTGGTCGATGAGAGCGATGAGATACAGCTGAACTGAAGCGATTATAGTTAAAAACTTTGACACATAAAGAGGGTGATCTGTAATCAAGCACAAACAGTGTCATCATTGCCAGTTGGGTTGGTGTATCTAAAGTAAAATGATACACCTCCATTTCGGATACGGTCCCTGTGATCCGAACGACCGAGGTCTACTTCAAAGTGAACTGGGGTCTCAATAGAGATTACGTGTCGCAGCCAGTTTTCGCCCTTGCAACGTCCGTAACTTTTGAGACAGTGGAAGATGCGTTGCGTTGTATCGAAGTTGGCTTATAAGTCTGGATGATACTCTACTGTCCCCAGTGGTTTAGTGAAATAAGTTGCAGATTGGTGGCGTAAGCCGATGGTGTCGATATGTCAAGAGTTCAGTTCCAAAAGCATTCGGGTAATGAGCAACCCTGACGTGACGCAATATGAGGAAACAGCCGGCTGGTGGCTTTCCGGATGCGTGGATGGCTATCTGACATGGAAGGTGCTGCGACGAAGTCCGCGTAAAAAGTTTGAGTCGAGAGAACTTGGCAAAGTTCCAGCAGTTGATGTAAGATAATCACAAGTACAAGTGTACGTGAGTATACGTGAGTAACCGATGGATATCTGTCCAGTGTCATATGAAAGTAAGTAAATCGAACAGTAAAAGGCACATCGAAGAGTCCCTAAGCAAATTGTGCGCTCACTTTGAAGCCTTAATATTTCCTTTTTAAACAGAATGCATGTGCTTATGTTCAGTGAGAAACCTACTTGAAGCCTATTTCGAGCACCTACTTCTGAAGCTTCCACACTTAAGCGGATTAACTGCCATCATGTCATCGAGTTCGACTGGAAATCGAGTATGAAGATGAAGCACATTAAAGAGGTCGATAATCAGGTGCGCGAATGAACTGGTGAGCTTAGTGGTGGGGACAGAAATCCGCTAATTTGGCAGTCAGCGAGCGGTGTCAGTAGTGGGATAATGGTAACACCAGAATCGGACAGTGTGCTCGAGAGGTAGCGATAACTGAGCGAGTATGAACTCATGGACAGACTTTCCGAAAAATCGTGCGATAAAACCGATACTGCAGAATGATGCAGGAGTTGTTTTATGCTAAATGAAACAAAGACTGGTAACAGCTCTCAGATGTAGAACACTTAAAAATTGGAGCAATACATAGTAAGAAGACCTTGATGCACAACCGGAATTGAGCATAGTGCCTGCATTTTGAAGTAGCTTACCCAGAACTATGAGCATTCTCACAGGATGAATTAACTGAATGGGTTCAGAAGACGCTTTAATAAACGTTCAATGCTACAAAACGTCGTCGTCGTCATCATCAACAGCCGGATAGCAATAGTATGAAATTTTAATTCAATTTTAACCAAAACAGTGTCTCCGTAGTGAGGATTACGGAGAGGGATGAAGGGGTATCCGGCGTAAAATCTAAACGTCCTAAGCAATGGATCAGCGGCCAGGTGTTCGAAGTTTGTCACTGTCCCTAACAGGCTGTAACCTTGAGAGGATACGACGATATAACAGTATCCTAGTGGATTTCACTACTGCGTAGCAAAAGAAACCTTGCAGGCATATCAGCATCCGACACAGACAAAATAAGCAATCCCGCTGAGACCGTAATAAAATGCGCCTGCGGTCACGCAGACCTGGGGAAGCCACCTACTGCAAGAGCGTACCACTTTCACATTACGTGAACCGTTTTCAAAAGAAACACCATGATCCGCTAATACCGCTGCTAAACTAGGGGAAGTATTAAACGAAGCAGTACCATGTTGTTTAGGACCATGTGATACTGTATACTGACGTTGCACAATGCACGTCTTTGGTCTCTTTTCCGCGAAATTCGCACCTATTACGGCATAGATTAGCTACCGAAGGTTTTAGCATAGGCGCAGCCCCAAGCCACCAACACAGGTTTATTCCATGGTGCTCTACAAATCGCTATTCTTCAACCACTGAAACAAGAATAAATCTATGCACTTGTCGTGGACCAAGGGTGAAGCAAAAGGCGTAATGAAGGCAAGTGATGAGGGTATGGCTCGAAGTATCCGATTAAAGCGCAGCAGGATTATTCGCACCAATACTTGCCAAACAGTTTTTGAACACAGTCTGATTAACAGATCCAGGCCACCAATTGTCTGATTTGAGAAGCAATAACCGGCCTAACGATCTTTTCCAAAATATTCCTATATTTGGTGGGGTTGGATCGTATTTCTTGTATAGCCGTCTAGCACGTATTGTGAGAACTGTGTTAGGATATTGTTAGATGGGCTCGAAAATAAATAGTCACTCACAGGTAGCTGGACATTGGTGGCTGTCCCGTCACGTGTGTTGGACACACGCACGACAGCCGTCCAGAGATGGACCGCTCACCATTCATAACTGTGTCCTTTCATGTGGTTGGCTTATTGATCTATTGATCTTTTTACATCCCGGTGGCTCAGCTTTGTCAGTTTTTCAATACAGCTCGTGCCGCGTGGTGGTGTTCTTGTTTCCCGTTCGGAGTGGGTTCTGTTACAATCAGACGTTATACTAGATGGTGACAGGGAACCATGACGGTCCTTTTGGAATTTCTGCAAGGAATGCTGTCCAGACAGCAAGCACAGTTTGGGGCGTCACAGCCACGCTTAATTGAAACATTGACAATACGAATATCGTTACAGTCAGCATCTATGTATACAACGATTTCCATTGTAGACAAGCTGGCGCACAGTATGACAGTATTTCATTACCAGCCGGACGATGACCTCACTTTCGTCGCTATGATGACTTGTTGAAAATTGACGGGCATGAGACAGACGATGCAGCTCATGTACGTCTTCTTTTGAGGAAAATGGGTCTACAAGTATGAAAAGCACTCTAATCACATTCTACCCATAAAGCCACCCGATATCTCATTGGACGACACTGTGAAACACTTGACCAGAATTTTCGGCCATAAAACTTCACTTGTCAACATACGTTTCCGGTGTTTTCAAGTTGTTAAACGAGAGATGATTTTGTGACTTGTGCAGTTATTGTTAACATGTAATGTGAACGTTTTCGACTTAGCACGCTCACAAGTGATAAGTTTAAAGCGCTCATTTTTGTTTGTGGACTACGTTTTCCAAAAGATTTGGAGATTCGAACACGTTTGTTATCTCGGTTGGAGTCTAATCCAGAAGTCTCACTACAGGGGTTGGTACAGGAATGCGAACGTATGTTGACACTGAAGCATGAAACAGAAGTGATCCAAGGATACAACGAGTCTTGTGTGGTGGATGTTCATAATATTCCTACACGCCCCAGCCCATCGCACAAGTCAGTACATCTCTCCGACTTCG